CTCTCTCTCTCTCTCTCTCTCTCTCTCTCTCTCTCAATCTCTCCCCCACACCTTCCCCTTCCTTCATCCCTCCCTCCCCCATGAATCCCCCCATACCCCAGGTGCCCTCACCTGTCACAATGGGGTAGGACTGCGGGCCTGGCACACTGCTCCCAATGTCAGCAGGTGTAGGACTGGTCAGGTTGGCCTTCATGTCGTCCAGCCCTCCAGCAAGTGAGGCCATGGCTGAATACTCAGTGGTCTGAAAGAGGAAACAGAGACATCTCAGCACTAAGACCATGAAGTAGCCTAGTCAAATACCACCACCATGTTCTAAGCTCAGCCATCAAGCTGGGCTAATCCATGCCTACGCCAAGGACCACAGGGGGCTCACAAACCCCCTGGCCTTGAAAGGGCAGATTCAGCTTTGTCAAGAAGCAACGATTCTTCCCAGGTGCAGGGGTAGGCAAGACTCAATGCAGCTTCTCAAGAATTCCAACTTCAGTCTCTCTGTGGCCTGCAGGGTTCCCTCACCCAGCTCCAGCTGGTTAGAGAAAACCACTCTTCTCAGTACAGGGAGGGAGAAATTAGTAACCAAAAGCAAGACGGAAATAACAGTCTTCCCACCAAGAGGATGGAAAGGACATCTTTTTATTTCTGTGCTCTTAAATCACAGAAGTAGAATCACATAGACCAGCAGTTCTCAACCTGTGGGTCACGACCCAAAGGAACTGTATTAAAGGCTCGCAGCATTAGGAAGGTTGAGAGCCACTGACATAGACAAAGATTCAAAGGAACCAGGGAGATCACCCAGTCTAAAATCTCATCTCCCAGACAAGCAAACCGAGGCCCAAGGGGAGGACGCCTCTGCCCATGATCAACAAGGCTGAATCCCAGGCCAGGGGTGGGTCACCATAATAATAATGCCCACCATAACCCAGTACATGAATTCCAGAAGCACACATGTTGAAAACACGTGGGGTGCACACATCTGATTTACCACCTTCATTCATTTGGCCCATGAGTCATGCTTCTTTCTTTAAGCCAGTTCATGAAATCAGAGCATGTGATGAGCCGTTTCCTTGCCATCCAAGCCATTGTCAGAATGGTCCCAGAGAAGGCAGCAAAGAACTCAACCTGGATCTTCCCACTCAGGACAGACTAAATTATAACATAAACATGAGCAAATCACATTTCTTCCTACAACCCAACCCCCAGGCCTATTTTCAGGTAAAGAAAATATTTGTAAGCACTTAAGTCAAATAATTTGGTTTTGATAATAAGATTTGGTGAAGGGCCCTAGTATTGTCATTAGAGGACACATCCCTGTCTGTCCAGGATTATGTCCAGGGAAGCAAGCAGTCTTCTTCAAGGAGTGGCAGGCATCCTAGGTGACGAGGCTGAGCCACTAGGAGAGAAACCAAAGGAGCCCACTGAGCTTGTGGCAGGCAGAAGGTACTCCGACTGGCACTTTTCTCAACAGATCATTTTAACAGTACTTTCTGGGATGCTTAAGAGACAAACAAGGTTGACAGCAGCTGTGATTCTAGGAGGTACTGTGGGCCCAGGCTCTCTAAGGTGATTCTCACTGAGGACAGCTTAGCCAGAGGACCCTGGGGCCCTTTCCTTGTCTTCCTTCAAAGGCTGAATCTGAGACATGTGGAGAAGAACATAGGGAGCCCAGGTATTTCTAAGGGAGAGGACAAGGCTGGGGGAGGCCTATCAGACATGGAGAATCACTATAAAGCTACAGTAATTAAGACAGTGTGGTATTGGCACAGGGGTAGATAAATAGACCAATGAAACAGAATGGAGTCCAGAAACTGATCCGCGCACATATGGAACTGTGATATATGAGAGTGGTGGTGTACAAATCAGCAGGAAAGGATGGACTCTTTAATAAACAGAGGGGGGTAACTGGTTATCCATTCAGAAATAGGAGGGAAAAAAAGAAATTGGATCTTTAGGCCAGACACAAAAATCAATTCCAGGTGGATTAGAAGGCAAAGGCATCTAGTATGGTCAACTCTAGGTCCAGCCAATAATCTTTAAGTCTGCCCTTCCTAGAAGAGAAACCAGGGCCTTTTCTGCCCTGAGGTGCTTGCATGGGTCTTCTGGTCACGAGGAGAATGGTAGTGAGTTCCTGTTATCCTACCACCCCGCCTCAGCGCCTCTTCCTCCAGAAAGTCTTTCCTGACTACCATTCTTCCTCATCAAAAGTTCACACTTAGCACTGAACCTACATAATCTCATTTCATCTTCACAGTTACCCCTTGAAGTAGGCTCCTTATTAGCCCTAATTTACAGATGAATAAACAGAAACTTCTGTTACGGAGGGAAATGACTTGCCTAAGGCCACACAGCTTCTAGGTGCCTGAAGGCTGGGTCTGTCTAACTCCAACATCTTGACACTTACCCTAATGACTTTCATACTGTGGGTCCTGAAATCAATTCACTAGTCCCCAAATTTCTAAAAAATGAAATTAGAATGAAATAGAAGAAAAAATATCCAAAGTTCTCACACAAGGAAAGGGTAAGTCCTGCTTTGTAAATCTTCACTTCACATATCAGTGGGTATGTGTGTACTAGGTGGAGATTAAGATGTATTTCTTGCTATAGGTCACAACCACCAAAGTTGGGGAAACACTGTCTTCTTTCCATTCAGCAAGGAGCTGTTGGGAAAAGGTCACTGTCTAGACTTCGTCGCCCACAGAATAGGACTTGGTCATGCCATTAGCCTCCTAATTTGCTAAGCATGAATTTGGAATAGAATTCCACTCACCGGAAGCACCTCCTTCAATGCATCGTATGTGCAAAGATGAGAGGTTAGATTCCTCGGATAAGGTTCTTTTCCTAGATGGCATCTTCTAAAGTTTCTGGGGCCCCAGGAGTATGTCCCAGTTCTTCCTTCCTCTTTGCATTCCAGAATACCCTAGTGAAAGCCTGAGCGTTGCGGGTATGCATGCATTCAACACTTGTTGAGCCCTCTTTCATGCAATATGGTGTGTAAAACAAGACACACACTTTGACTCTCATCCACAAACCCCACAAGAAAAGACATACGGCTCAGAAATTTCATCCAGGGGAGACAAGAGCATGGAGCCTTTACATTACATAGAGGGGGAAGTGGTCCAGAAGGGTTTCTTAGGGCCAGTCGCATTTAACATGGGACTGAGCAGTCCCTGGCCCTCAAGGCTAAGAGCAGTTGAGGAAAAGCTCTCAGGCAATAGGATGGGAGTGATCCAGAAACAGGACACATGCAATAGCTAGAAGGAGCGAAAATATAAAGGAGAGAGATAGAAAGGTAGAGGTAGACACACTGGCATTTCACTGTGAGGGCTTGCACAATGAACCCTGATCAGGAAAAAGAATGAGTGCTCCTTCATAGGGCCAGGCAGCACCCCAGCCAAGAGGGAGCATCCCTTCACCCATCCTCAGCCTGCCCCATTCCTAGACTCCAGCCTCTTATATGGGATAGGCAGCCAGGTCTGCAAGGCAAAGACTCTACTTCCCCCAAGAAAGCAAAGCCAACCTCGGTTTAAGAGAGTTGTCGAAAGGGCAGCCAGCAGGGATATCCTACCTGTGAATGTATTTAGTTTCCTAAAACTAAATACATACTAAAAGAACTTTTTTTGCTATTTGCTTTAGTCAATAAATTCTGTATCAAACCAGCTTCATCCTATCAGTTCAACAGTTGGGTTTGGATCATCTTTCCAAGATGTAAACTCTTCAGCTTTTGTTATACATGCAGTGGGAGGTCCAAAACCCGTCACCAAACCACTGTTGGCTCCCAAAAAGAAAAGTAAGACTTTCTTATTTATTTATTTATTTTTGGCTGAGGCTGGGTTTGAACCCACCACCTCCGGTATATGGGGCTGGTACCCTACTCCTTTTAGTCACAGGTGCCGCTCAGAAGTAAGCCTTTCTAAAGAGCTGGTGTCTGGGAGATAGTGGGACTCAGAAATGAGTCCTTGGCTACCCTTCACCATCTCTGTCTCCTACCATCACCACCTCACAGGCCTTGCCCATGGCACTGCCTCTCCTCTTCAGTAGGATTCCCAGCTCTAACTCTGTTCCTACACAGCGAGGGAAGGCTGTCATGCAGTCTTGGTGTTTCATTGTTCCCTAAGTCCTTACCATTGTCTGTCCCTTTGAGCTGCCTGTGATTTTTAAAGGCAACTCCATTCTCCCCACATCCTGGGCTCCCTGAAACATCACTACCCTAGCTGCTCCTCAGCCATTCCACACTCTGTGCTACATCTTCCTGAAGGGCCCATCTCGCTCAGTCACATAAAGAACTCCTACATTATCTGAAAGGCCCACCTCCATATCACCTCCTCAGTGAAGCCATTCAGGGGCCCCACACTCCTTCAAAGAAATAATCTCTCCCTTGCCTATGTTTCCATACTTGGTGGCATTTTGCACAACCTCCATTATCACATTATCACCATGTATGTATAATGACCATTTGTCTATCTCCATCCAGGTTACCTTGAGAGCATGGCACATAAAACATACCCAGTGCCCCCTAAGTGCTTGCTGAGTGAATGAATGTATGGTCCAGTAGCATGCCATTAGCCACAACACTCAAAAAGCAACTGGGAAGTATGTGAACAAGAGCTCCAAGTGATATTCTAACAGTCCCCTATCCCGTCCCCACTTTGCCCCTCATCAGATCAGATGATCAGAAAGCAACAACCCCATCCAACATGTTAAATCCCCTAGGATAGAGCCTATATTGGTCTCTGATGGAATATCAGACATTGAACATCGGTAAGAGACAATTAAAAAAAAAAAACTAACCAAGTAAAGAATATATTTTTAAACCTCTAGAGACACTGCTCGTTAGAATATTCAAATTTCTTGTCAATCTCTCCTACAATTCAATACCAGGAAAAAGGTTTTTTCCCCCAAATTAATTGTTAACTACCTCTGACTGAACAACAAGAACACTAGAAACCACTGCTGGCCCTTTTTGCTTTGGCTGCCAGGAAACTCAGTCCAATTCAGTGCTCAGTCACCTCAACCACATTATTACCAACTCCTGGTGAAATAATCTTTCCCTTTTCTCTACATTTCTGAATTTTTTTCCAGATTTAGCTAACTTAGATACATGTAATTCTTTTATTTCCTAGGCCATCTCAAATCCCTTGTTTAAGATGGGACTGAAAGAGATGGGCTGATAGAAAAAGAAAGATAGGAAAAAAGGGAGACCAGTGAGAGAGAACAAGAGACGGAAAGAGAAGAGAGAAAGTATCATTG